GTTAGAATATTCCTATAAGAATGGGAGGCTCTGGAACTGTCTGATCATCAGTGGGCACTAGAGGACGTGGAAGAGGAACTCATATCTAAGGACATCTGCTTCGAAGGCATATTTAAGGAAGAGTTTAAGGAAGACTGAATCTAATAATGCTAATCTGTGGCAGACCAGAGGAGTCTGGCTCACCTGGGAAGAACAGAGATGGCGTAGGTCTCCTTTTCTCATGGGAAGAGGAAGGAGTGCATTTTGGAGTCATGATACGTTTTGCAGGGAGTCAGATTTTGCTGGAAGGAAAACAAGAGATATGGTCCTTGACATTGTGCTTAGGGAAAGAAGCTTTGTCATTATGGAAGTTTTGGAACAATGCATTGGCAGGCTGCAGGGAAGCAGAATCTGGCCTAACAGGTATCCTTTTCCAAGGAGGGAGAAAAGGATATGGGAATATTTGGATGCATGAGGATGGATGACTGTTTATATGTAAGTGAATGCTGAATAAAAATGTAATTGCCTTGTTGAAGGCTTTCATGGCCAAAATCACTGGGTTGTTGCAAGTTTTCCAAGCTGAATGTTCATATTCCAGAAGCATTCTCTCCTGACATTTCACCTGCATCAATGGCAGGCATCCTCAGAAGTTGTGAGGTTTCAGAACCCCTGAGGATGCCTGCCATAGATGCAGGCAAAACGTCAGGAGAGAATGCTTCTGGAACATGGCCATACAACCCGAAAAACTTCCAACAACCCAATGTAATTGTCCTTTCTTTCTTTCTCTTTCTTTGTTTCGTTAGCCAATGTGAATCTAATGTAGTTATGTAGAATCTATGTGTCTGTATGTCTAAATGTTTAATATATAGTCAAAGGTTTTCATGGCTGGAATTGCTGGGTTGTTGTGAGTTTTCCAGGATGGTATGGCCATGTTCCAGAAGCATTCTCTCCTGATGTTTCGCTTGTATCTATGGCAGGCATCCATAGATGCAGGCGAAACGTCAGGAGAGAATGCTTTTGGAACATGGACATACAGCCCGGAAAAATCACAACAACCCAGTGTCTTCTCTCCTGATGTTTTGCCTGCATCTATATTTGTCTGCCATAGATGCAGGCAAAACGTCAGGAGATAATGCTTCTGGAACATGGCCACATAGCCTGGAAAAATCGCAACAACCCAGTGTCTTCTCTCCTGACGTTTTGCCTGCATCTATGTATGCCTGCCATAGATGCAGGCGAAACGTCAGGAGAGAATGCTTCTGGAACGTGATTTTTTTTCCGGGCTGTATGGCCATGTTCCAGAAGCCTGGAAAAATCACAAAAACCCAGTGTCTTCTCTCCTGACGTTTTGCCTGCACCTATGGATGCCTGCCATAGATGCAGGTGAAACGTCAGGAGATAATTCTTCTGGAACATGGCCATACAGCCCGGAAAAATCACAACAATCCAGTGTCTTCTCTCCTGATGTTTTGCCTGCATCTATGGCAGGCATCCATAGATGCAGGCAAAATGTCAGGAGAGAATGCTTCTGGAACATGGCCACACAGCCTGGAAAAATCACAACAACCCAGTGTCTTCTCTCCTGACGTTTTGCCTGCATCTATGGCAGGCCATAGATGCAAGTGAAACGTCAGGAGAGAATGCTTCTGGAACATGGCCACACAGCCTGGAAAAATCACAACAACCCAGTGTCTTCTCTCCTGACATTTTGCCTGCATCTATGGATGCCTGCCATAGATGCAGGTGAAACGTCAGGAGAGAATGTTTCTGGAACATGTCCCAGAAAACTCACTACAACCCAGTGTCTAAATGTCGTTGTGTAAAAGTTCTGATACACCCTCACACTGAAAATTGCAATAAAAAGAACCTGGGTTGTTGTAGGTTTTCCGGGCTATATGGCCATGTTCTAGAGGCATTTCTCCTGACGTTTCGCCTGCATCTATGGCAAGCATCCTCAGAGGTAGTGAGGTCTGTTGGAACTAGTAGGAAAATGGGTTTATATATCTGTGGAAAGACCAGGGTGGGACAAAGGACTTTTGTCTGCTGGAGCTAGGTGTGAATGTTTCAACTGACCACCTTGATTAGCATTTAATGGCTTGGAAGTGCCTGGGGGAATCTTTCTTTGAGAGGTGATTTGATGTGGTTTCGAAAGTTTAAGCATAGGGAGGAGAATGTGCTGCAAGATCTTTCCCCAAACTCATTTTGTGAATTCATCACACTAGAGAGAAAAAATCTGATTTCTGCCTCCTGCAGAATTCTGGGGTTTGTAGTTTAGGGAGGAGCTAAAAACAAACCCCAGAATTCTGCAGGAGGCAGAAATCGGATTTTTTTTCTCTAGTATGACATGGCCCATGGTAAGCTTGGAAACCAATAAAAAGGGAAGCAATGCACTGCAACGTTCAGAGCGGAGGGAACCCAAGCTTCCCCATCAACACCAATTATTACTGCAAGGAAGGGCGAGGGATGATAAATACAGATGTCAACATGGCATTCGTGGGGGAGGAAGAGGAAGATGTGACTTCGACAGGCTCAGCAGGGTGACTCCCTGCATGGAAATCGAGATGGTGGAGGAGACGTGAGTCATGTTTTCTCCCAAAGCGATCACACCCAGGAACTTGGCAGGAAACAGAGTGTGCCATTTCTAGGGACCGGGACGGTGCCCGCCCGAGAAGTCCCTCGAAGGGAAGCAATGTTTACTTTTCACACTACACCACGGATAGTTTTCCAGAACACTCGGAAGGCCAAAGTTTGCCCATGCCCGGTATTATTAGAAAAGCAGATTTTCTCAACGAAACAAAAAACCAACCAAGTTCGATCTTAAAGGAAGGGAAGAGTTTTAATCAAGCCCTTGGTTCGAAGAGCAAAAGGAAGGCTTCAAAGCAGAATATAACACGTAAACATAACTGATTGAATGTGTCAGAAAGGGAGAAAAAGGAAGAAGGGAAAACACAGGCGTTCCCTGAGTATTCGCGTCGGAAGGAGAACGGGCGAACATCCTTTTCCGTCTCAAAACGAACAGTTTGGAAAGCGTTTATTCCCCATTTCACGGAATGCTTCGTAGCCGATCTCCACTTCTTTGGAAATCATCTCAAACAGGAAGAATAAAACAGGGGAATGGCTTCATAAAACACGGAAACGGGTTACAAGTAACATGAACATAGAATGTATGGTATATAAACCTGTTTCCCCAAAAATAGGACATCCCCTGAAAATAAGACCTAGTAGAGGTTTTGCTGAATTGCTAAATATAAGGCCTCCCCTGAAAGTTATATATATATATATATATATATATATATATATATATATATCCTGTTTCTCCAAAAATAAGACATCCCCTGAAAATAAGACCTAGTAGAGGTTTTGTTGAATTGCTAAATATAAGGCCTCCCCCGAAGGTTTATATATATACTTTCGGGGAAGGCCTTATATTTAGCAATTCAGCAAAACCTCTACTAGGTCTTATTTTGATATATATATATACACGGTTTCCCCAAAAATAAGACATCCTGAAAATAAGACCTGGTAGAGGTTTTGCTGAATCTGTTGAAATTAAGTTTATATATATATATATATATATATATATATATATATATATAAAATATATATATCTCCTGTTTCTCAGAAAACAAGACATCCCCTGAAAATAAGACCTAGTAGAGGTTTTGCTGAATTGCTAAATATAAGGCCTCCCCCGAAAGTTTATATATAAATAAACATTGGGGGAAGGCCTTATATTTAGTAATCCAGCAAAACGTCTACTAGGTCTTATTTTCATATATATATATATACTGTTTCACCGAAAATAAGACACCCCATGAAAATAAGACCTAGTAGAGGTTTTGCTAAATTGCTAAATATAAGGCCTCCACCGTAAGTTATATATATAAATAAACCGGGGAGGGCCTTATATTTAGCAATTCAGCAAAACCTCTACTAGGTCTTATTTTCATATATATATATATACACGGTTTCCCCAAAAATAAGACATCCCCTGAAAATAAGACCTGGTAGAGGTTTTGCTGAATTGCTAAATATAAGGCCTCCCCTGAAAGTTTTTTATATATATATATATATATATATATATATATATATATATAGTTTCTCAGAAAACAAGACATCCCCTGAAAATAAGACCTAGTAGAGGTTTTGCTGAATTGCTAAATATAAGGCCTCCCCCGAAAGTAATATATAATATATATCCTGTTTCCCAGAAAATAAGACACCCCCTGAAAATAAGACCTAGTAGAGGTTTTGCTGAATTGCCAAATATAATGCCTCCCCCGAAAGTATGACCTAGCAAAGCTTTGTGTTCATAAATATTGGAATTGGTAAATGTACCATAGATTGTTGTACATGGAAATAATGGTAGTGACAAGAAATTCTTGATAGGATTCGGAGTTTGTCTGGTTATGCTGGTCTGTGATGACCACTACTGTACATGGAAAAATAAGACACCTAAAAATAAGACACCCCCTGAAAATAAGACCTAGCGCATCTTTGGGAGCAAAAAATTAATATAAGACACTGTCTTATTTTCAGGGAAACAGGATATATATATATATATATATATATATATATATACATATATATATATATATATATTAAAGGTTAACTCCTTGGTCCCTTAGTTTGGGTTTGGCTCTGGGAAGACGGTGCACACCCGAACGGGTCGCATACGATCAGCTTCATTAATAAGATTAGAACGAAAACAGACAAATAAAGGAGAAACACCTCCGCACCCAACACTTGGAAGGCACCCAAATCTGCGGCTGGGAACCGGGTTTGACAAATGTGTGTACATTGCTCAACACACACAAGCAGGTACACACCCATCAGGTAGAACAGGGATGAGTATTACGAGCCGTCTGGATGCTGCTGGATTACATCTAGCATTGGGTTGTGGTGTGTGCTTTCCGGGCTGTGTGGCCATGTTCCAGAAGCATTCTCTCCTGATGTTTCGCCTGCATCTATGGCAGGCATCCTCAGAGGTTGTGAGGTCTCCAAACCTCTGAGGGTGCCTGCCATAGATGCAGGTGAAATGTCAGGAGAGAATGCTTCTGGAACATCACCATACAGCCAAGAAAACACACCACAACACATTGATTCCGGCCATGAAAGCCTTCGACAACACATTACATCTAGCATAAACCGAAGGCCCTGACCCCAGATGCCATAACAACAAGAAGCCGACCCAATTCTCATCTCTGAAAGAGGCGGTCTTGCTTTCCAGGGCAGAAGATGAGCTCAACCCAACGATCCGAAGCAAAAGACAGGGTTTTGTTGAATGAACTTATGACTCTTTCCACAGGGCAAGACATTTGGCAAGAGTGTGGTTCAGAAAGCGTGAGAATCAATGCTTCACAGGACAGAACGGCAGCAGAATGGATACAGATCGACAGCAGAGTCTCGCTTATCCGACATAAATGGGCCGGCAGAACGTCGGATAACATGGAGTCCCTTAAGTCACTAGGCGCCTAGAATACTAACAGTAAGTACTCCAAGGGTTAAGGCAAGGCAACAGTTTACGGCTCGAGTGGCCCTGCAGGAAGTGCCCGGAAGCGGAAGCGGAATGTGGAAATCACAGGGAAGGAAGGAGGAGGCTTCCACTTCCAGTCCTGCTTCTTTCCCCCTTTTCCTCCCTTCCTCCTCCTTGCCCTTTTCACTCATTGGGAATGCAGAGAGTTGGGGAGCATTCCTTTAATTGAAGGGAAAATGCTGGAGGAAAAGGGGGCGTCGGATTAGACGGGAAGTCGGATAAACAAAGGTCGGATATGCAAAACTCTACTGTACTTTCTTTCGGAAAGCACAATTTTCCAACACAAAAGAGACTCCTTTAATTGAAGGGGAAATGTTGGAGAAAAAGGAGGGCGTCGGATAAGACGGGAAGTTGGATAAACAAAGGTCGGATAAGAGAGACTCTACCTTCTTTTGGAAAGCACAATTTTCCAACATGAAATATACTCCTTTATTTGAAGGGGAAATGTTGGAGGAAAAGGGGGGCATCGGATAAGACGGGAAGTCAGATAAGCAAAGGTCGGATAAGCGAGACTCTGCTGTACCTTCTTTCGGAAAGCACAATTTTCCAACACGAAAGAGACTCCTTTAATTGAAGGGGAAATGTTGGAGGAAAAGGAGGGCGTCGGATAAAACGGGAAGTCAGATAAGCAAAGGTCGGATAAGCGAGACTCTGCTGTACCTTCTTTCAGAAAGCAGTTTTCCAACATGAAAGAGACTCCTTTAATTGAAGGGGAAATGTTGGAGGAAAAGGAGGGCATCGGATAAAACGGGAAGTCGGATAAACAAAGGTCGGATAAGTGAGACTCTGCTGTACCTTCTTTCGGAAAGCACAATTTTACAACACAAAAGGAATCAAAACATAACCCAAAGCAGAGCAAGCCCCCTTATCCATTCAGTCCTGCTAGGACCTAGTAGAAATTACAGAAGCAAAGCAAGTGGAACTGGAACGACACCCCAAAAGGCAATCTAGAATGTCCTCTCTCAAACCAACACCCCCTCCTCCCGCCCCGATCCATTCATTTATGAGGAAAACCTTCTTCGGAAAGCTAAGATTGCTGTTTAGGATGCAAGGAGAGGGCGCTTGCAACTTCTCCGACCGGCAGTTTCTTCCTTCCCACCCATCTTGTGGTGGGGAAACTGGTTTGGCCAGGCCTGGGGCATGCACATCCTTGCCTCCACCACGCAAGTCAGGTTGAGCAGGTCAAGGAACAAGGAGGGAACCCGAACGAGCGAGTGAGCGACGGGATGGGTGTGTTAAATAGGAGGCGGTTTGCAATTGAACCTCGTGTCATCGCAGAATGTGACAAGAGAGAATTAACACTGCGCCCATGCTCTCCTCCACCCACCTGGGATGCAAGGAAAGGGCAGAGGGAACTATTCGCATCGAACCAAAGGCAGACTCTTAAAAAGATCTAATTTGGGGAGCAGGAGGAAACCTCCAGACCACACCGCTGGCACAGATCCAACACACCACCAGTTCAGCCAAACGTCTCTCCAAGTCAACCCAACTCTCAGGCAAAACCAACTAAGAGACACCACAGGTTGGAGAACCACACGAGATGTATCTTTCGCCGCTTCTCCCCGATCCGCACAGATCCCAAAGGCACCCCAAAACACTCGGGATCTCTGCTGAAATGTTCCACTCCTACTAGAGATTTGTTGTCAAGGAAAGCAATAACAAACGTATTGGAAGAGGAAAGGGGGGAATTGACAGAAGAGAATATATGTTCTAGGGTTCATTGGTTAGAGATTTCTTTTGTGTGCGCGCAAATTATATAGAAATATATTTATATATATTTGTATGGCCCTAGGATTATTACGATTTGTAGTTGGAAGTAAGCCACATTAAACCTTCGTAGAGTCCTTCGCCCGACGTGGCGCATGAGGGCTGGACGTACCAATTCCTGTCCCTAATGCGCGTGAGGCCCAGTTTCTCTTGGATCTCGTGAGGTTTCATGGCGTCGGGGAGGTCCTGCTTGTTGGCAAAGACCAGAATGATGGCGTCCCGCATCTCCCGGTCGTTGATGATGCGGTGGAGCTCCTGCCGCCCTTCGTCGATCCGGTCGCGGTCGGCGCAGTCCACCACGAAAATCAACCCTTGGGTGCCGGTGTAGTAGTGTCTCCAGAGGGGCCGGATCTTGTCCTGGCCCCCAACGTCCCAGACGTTGAACTTGACGTTCTTGTAGGTCACCGTCTCCACGTTGAAGCCGACGGTCGGGATGGTGGTCACTGGCTGGCCCAGCTTGAGCTTGTACAGGATGGTGGTCTTCCCGGCAGCGTCCAGGCCCAGCATCAGGATCCTCATCTCTTTGTTGCCAAAGATCTTGGATAGCATCTTCCCCATGGCTGCGGACGAGGACTACAGTCCATACAAGGCTGGAACGGAAGAAGAGAAAAGGGGACATCAGTGGGATCAAGAACAAGCCTATTTCCATCCCTTGCTTATAAATGTTGTAGGGGTAGCTGCTGTTTCCTTTGCCTGCTGTAGGCAGGCACATATGGCTACACTAGAATCTGGAGGAGTTAGATCTGACTCTTTCCCAACTGAAGCTTTATCACATTGTTTACAAATGTTGTAGAGGAAGCTGCTGTTTCCTTTGCCTGTTGTAGGCAGGCACATACGGCTACACTAGAATCTGGAGGAATTAGATCAGACTCTTTCCCAACTGAAGCTTTATCACATTGTTTACAAATGTTGTAGAGGTAGCTGCTGTTTCCTTTGCCTGTTGTAGGCAGGCACGTATGGCTACACTAGAATCTGGAGGAGTTAGATCTGACTCTTTCCCAACTGAAGCTTTATCACATTGTTTACAAATGTTATAGAGGTAGCTGGTGTTTCCTTTGCCTGTTGTAGGCAGGCACGTACGGCTACACTAGAATCTGGAAGAGTTGGATCCAACTCTTTCCCAACCAAAGCTTTATTGCATTGTTTACTGCAAACACACAGACTATGAAAGTCTCTCTGTCTCTGGCTCCTTTTCGCCAAGCTTTTGGTGAATGTTAATGCTGCTGAAAAAAGTTCCAGCTAAGCAGAGAATGCGCATTAAAAGTGTTTGTAAAAAGATACTTCACAGTTGGAGGTTTTAATTGAGATATACAAAAACTACAGAAGCCGATGCTCTATTATTTATTATACGAATAAATACATAATAAACATAATTTGTTGTTGTTGTTCATTCAGTCAGTTGTTTCCGACTCTTCGTGACCTCATGGACCAGCCCACGCCCGAGCTCCCTGTCGGCCGTCACTACCCCCAGTTCCTTCAATAATAAATATAATATAATAAATATAACATTGCAAGTAAAAAATAATATAATGAATATAATATAATAAATAATATAATATGTAACAACATAATAATCTAATAAATATAATATTGCAAGTTAAAATAATGTAATAAAATAATAAATAAATAAAAATCTAATATAATATGTAATAACATAATAATCTAATACATTTTATTTATTATTTATTTATTTCCTATATTTATATCCCGCCCTTCTCCTCCCGAAGGGGGACTCATATAATATAATATAATATAATATAATATAATATAATATAATATAATATAATATAATATAATATAGCAAGTTAAAAATATGATATAATAAATAAATAATATAATAATATATATTTTTATCGTGTCAGGAGCAACTTGAGAAACTGCAAGTTGCTTCTGATATGAGATAATTGGCTGTCTGCAAGGACATTGCCCAGGTGACGCCTGGATGATTTGATGTTTTTATCATCCTTGTGGGAGGCTTCTCTCATGTCCCCGCATGAGGAGCTGGAGCTGATAAAGGGAGCTCATTCGCCTCTCCCCGGATTCGAGAGGAATATAATAAATAAATATAATAAATATAATAAAAATGTAATAATATAATATCTAATAAGATAATCTATATAAATAAAAATGTAATGATTGTTTGTGGGATTAACAGAACTCAAAAACCACTGGACGAATTGACACCAAATTTGGACACAAGGCACTTAACAACCCAATGTATGTCCTTCACTCAAAAAAATTGATTTTGTTATTTGGGAGTTGTAGTTGCTGGGATTTATAGTTCACCTACAATCAAAGAGCATTCTGAACTCCACCAACGATGGAATTGAACCAAACTTGGCACACAGTTCTCCCATGACTAAACAGAAAATACTGGAAGGGTTTGGTGGGCAGTGTCCTTTGGTTTTGGAGTTGTAGTTCACCTACATCCAGAGAGCACTGTGGACTCAAACAATGATGGATGTGGACCAAACTCTAGACAAATACTCAATATGCCCAAATGTGAACACTGGTGGAGTTTGGGGAAAATAGAATCTTGATATTTGGATGTTGTAGTTACTGAGATTTATAGTTCACCTACAATCACAGAGCATTCTGAACCCCACCAACGATAGAATTGGGCCAAACTTACCACACAGATCCCCCATGTGGGCCACAGCAATGTGTGGCAGGGGACGGCTAGTAATCTAAATGTAATGTTGCAAGTTAAAATATAATAAATATAATAAAAAAGGTAATAATATCTAATAAGATAATAATCTAATAAATATAATATAATAAGTAATATAATATATACACGTAATAAATATCTAATAAATATAATAATGTAAGCTAAAATATAATATAATAAATATTATACATGTAACATAATATAATTAATCCTGCTCTGCCTTACTCCTAATAGATGACCCAATGTTGTAATGGAATCAGGGTTTTCTGGGTCAATTACTATTGCCTGGTAATGGTATCACCTCTTTGGCTTCATCTGCCATCCCCACAGTAGAAAATGATTTGTCCCAGAAATATTTTAACATTGTGATTTAGGAACTCTGGCTGATATAATACAAAGTCTTTTGGGGTGACTTATTCTCCAATAGCAAATCAAGATCCATTAACAATACAAAAGACCATCAGTTTCCATGCTAAAACTGGTTTACTGACACAAATCAACACAGCTACTTGGATTTTGGGACTCACTTTTGGGGTCCTCGTCTGTGTGGGTTGGTTTACTTATTTAATTTACTTTATTTCCTGCAAAAAAGAAGAATCTATAATTCTCTTGATACGAGAGTTTTCGAACCCAGTGCTATGAAAAACACTCCATTGCAACAGTTAAAAACATACTCAAACATCGTAAAAAGATAAGCACACTGCATTCCCTATTAAAAGATTACTTTGCCACAAGTAACTTAAAAGCAAAAGGCTTGTCTCAATGGAAAGTTATTTGCCGAAAGGCAGAAAGGTGACAAAAGTAGCACTCCCTCCTGACGTTTCACCCACATCAATGGCAGGCATCCTTAAAGGTTGTGAGGTCTGTTGGAAACTAGGCAAGTCAGGTTTAGATACCTGTGGAATGATGTCCAGGGTGGGATAAAGAACTCTTGTCTGCTTGAGGCCAGTGTGAATGTTGCAATTGGCCACCTTGATTAACATTTAATTGCCTTGCTGCTTTAAAGCCTGGCTGGTTGCTGCCTGGGGGATAAAGAGCAACACACATACACACACACAAAAGGGGAATTTAGGCAAAAATCGATCAGGGCCAGCTAACACCTCCAAACAAAGGAACCCTCCAGGCAAAAACAAAGGATCCCATAGGTTTCTGCTGACATTAAATCTAGTTGAGTCCGACTCTTCAGGTCATTTCTAAGCCATAGACACCTCCAAGGTCATATGGCCAGTATGACAGCATGGAGCGTTGTTACTTCCCACAGAAGCGGTACCTATTGATCTACTCACATTTGCATGTTTTCGAACTGCTAGGTTGGCAGAAGCTGGGGCTAACAGCAGGAGCTCACCCCACCCCCTGGATTCGAACCACCAACCTGCAGATCAGCAAGTTCAGCAGCTCAGCGGTTTAACCCGCTGCACCACCAGGGGCTCTTTCTTTATCTCCTTCCTTCCTTCTCTACCTCTTTCCTTCCTTTCTTGGCTCTTTGCTTTCATCCTTCCTTCTCTCCTTCTTTCCCTCCTTCCTTTGCTCCCTTTTTCCTTCCTTTCTCTCCTTCCTTCCTTCTCTACCTCTTTCTTTCCTTCACCCTTTTTTCTTTCCCTCCCTCTTTCTCTCCTTTCTTCCTTCTCTACCTCTTTCCTTCTCTCTTTGCTTCCATCTCCCTTTCCTTCTTTCCTTCCCTCCCGCTTTCTCTCCTTCTTTCCCCTCTTCCTTTGCTCCCTCTTTCCTTCTTTTCTATCTTTATCTCCTTCCTTCTCTACCTCTTTCCTTCCTTTGCTCTTTGCTTTCATCCTTCCTTCTCTCCTTCTTTCCCTCCTTCCTTCGCTCCCTTTTTCCTTCCTTTCCTTTCTTTCTTTCTCTCCTTCCTTCCTTCCTTCCTTCCTTCCTTCTCTTTGCTTCCATGCTTCCTTCTCCCTTTCCTTCTTTCTTTTCTTCCCTCTTTTTCCTCTTTTCTTTCTTTCTTCCCTCCCTCTTTTTCGTATTGTCAATTATCTTTTCGTCATTTAGCTTTTTGGGGCTTTTTAAGTCCCTTCTGCTGTGCTTTTCCGTGTTTTTTTGAGTGAAGGACTTACATTGGGGTGTTAGGTGCATTGTGTCCAAATTTGGTGTCAATTCCCCCAGTGGTTTTTGAGTTCTGTTAATCCCACAAACGAACATTACATTTTTATTTATATAGATTATCAAGATCTGCAATTTTCCAACCCTGGTCCAACATTCAAACGACATTATCTTGGTGGCTGATATGGAATAGCAAGGAAAATGCTATTAATTGGCCAATAAAGGCAAGTTGATAAATGTTTTGAAGGTTTTCTTCCATAGACAGAAGTTTTCCATTATCAGCTCCTTCCAAAATGTCTATTTTCAAATGGGAACAGGAAGCGAGAACGATGCGGCACCAATTGATAGACAGGCGGAAACAAAAAATGCCCCAAATCACATTCAACCGATCTGAGTTTTCCAATCACATCCAAAGATAATGACTGACAGCTTCCTCCTTGTCCTATTTGAGATTTTTTTTTAAATTAATTTGATTTGTGTCCCACTTATACAAACTGAGAGGGGTAAAAAAACAGGTTGCGAGTTAGCATCGTTAAAGCCCGGCTCAACCAATTATAATATTACAGCGGAATTGGATTAACAGCCACAAAGGAGTGCAGCAGATCCCCACCGGGGTCAAAGCCACTCCATTAGCAATGCTGCCCGAACAAAATATTATTTTGAGTAAACAATCAGGCACATCAAATCACTCTCAACAAAAGATTCCCCCCAGGCACTTCCAAGCCATTAAGGTGGTCAGTTGAAACATTCACACCTAGCTCCAACAGACAAGAGTCCTTTGTCCCACCCTGGTCATTCAACAGATATATAAACCCATTTTCCTAGTTCCAACAGACCTCACTACCTCTGAGACGTTTGCCA